AGCTTTAAAAATTAAAAGTTGTTTAAAGTATGTCCAAACAAATACAAATATTAGTAATCAATTTATGTACGGACGGAGCCCTGCACGACATGGGTGTGAGGGGTTGTGTGGGTGGGTTGATCGTGGCAAGATTTCATGGTCACAAATTAAGAATTTGTTCCCTCATTAAGAAGATATGGAAGAATCCGTTCCCACAACATATATATACACAAACTTGATAGATGTGATTAATCAGGATTAATTGATTTGACAGCACAAATATGGCTGTATATACACACTATATATCACCATGAAAACAAAATTGTCCATTTTTATTTTTTATTTAATATAGCAGTATTTATTATACATTTATCTGTTCACATCGTTATTTTTTATTTTTTTATTCAAGTGCCCTCGTACTCTTTGATCAAAATAACTTCCCCTGTAACTCACATGAAATCACAGCAATAGCAAACCACAACCATCCAATCAATTCCCGATGGACAAAATCAAGTCCCGTCCTACATTTTTTCTTGTTCGAGGAGCCGTTTAACTCGGATATACGTCACAATAGAGAATAAAAGAATATCACAACTTCCATATCATGCGGACTTTAAAATTGTCCTTTTGTGTTCCATTGATAAAATAACAATATTCCGTTTTGAAAAATCATGACAACATGCATTCAAATCCCCTTAGGCCTTACTGACTCGGTTTTTGTGTTTGTGTATGTTAGCTTGCTCTACGGGCCGCCCCGTCCTATGAGGGCTTCATGGCTGCTCTGGTTTCTCATGAAGGCGATGAGCTGAAGGAGGGTTTCAAGACCGGCATGCACCGAGACCTGGACTTCTACCTTCCAGCTATGGGGAAGCAGCTGTCCATCCTGGATTCTCTCTATGAGGAGTACGGCTTGGAATCAGACGAGATCGTGTGACTAACACAAACGCACCCGCACAGCGAACACAGATTGCTTCTGAAGGAGCTGATCGGTTTCAGTGGTGGAGTTGCATTTCTTTCACCCACTGTGATAACCGAACCCTGAGTTGGTGTTGAAGAAGACGGGGAGGTTTCTGTGAGGGCAGGGCTTGCAAAGACTGACCAGTAAGAGTGTGTTGGTTAATGTGGTATCTGCAAACTCCAGTAACAGTCATCCCTGCAAAATTGAAACAGCCGCATCAAAGGGGGGGGCAGGGTGTGATTCCAAGTGTTTTCAGGGAACAGCTGTATTTTTAGCAACCTTCAGTGGAGTGATCAAGTGTTTTGTTGACATTGGTTGTATGTTTTTACATACACATTTGGGCATCAGAGTGCAAACTGCAGATATGGGGAAGGTAATATACCATATTGTTTACCTGGAAGTGAAGATATTAGTCGCAGTATCCTTATTCACAGTAAAAGTGCAAAAATGCACGTGTGCTTTTCTCCTCAATATTGCATTACTTTTGTTCAGATACTCACATCTCATTCATTTTAGACTAGCACACTTAGGAGTTTTTCATGGGATTCAGAACATGCATCATGAAACCATTAAGTATACAGATATTTTTTGCAGTGACATAGTCTTTAAACACATTCACAATTGCTCCAATTCAGGACTTGTAGGATCTACTTGGTTTTAGGGACCAAAGGAGTTTCTTTTTCTTGGTTTAGTGGAGAAATTCCCAAAAAAATTTAGCTGTGATGATCTTGGATCTTCATTTACAAAAGGAAAGATTTGTGATATTTCCTCAGTGACTTTATTTATCGACTTATTTATATGAATATCAGTTCTAACTGTTGATTTTATTGTAAGAATCACACTTTGCTCGCTCTCAAATCATATGAATGATACTAATTTGTGCATGTTGCATTGCATGGGTTTTGATTTTATATTTCAGAATTATATTACTAAATGATTAGCACATAATGAGGATGAATGTTCTAGGTTTATATTTTATTCTAATTGCATTCCACAGAGTTTAAACTAAAATCCCACAAATCATTGTCTTTGTAAATATGCCTTCCTAACATTAACTTTTATTGCATTCCTTTTCAATTCCAGTTTTGGTTGAACTGTCACAATTTATCCGATGTGTCCTTCACCAGAATCATTTATGGGATAGTTCACCCAAAAATGAAAATTAGGTCATGTTGTTTCAAACATGTATGAACACAAAAGATATTTTGAAGAATTCTGGTAACCAAAAAGTTGTACTGAGAATATAAAAATGAGATTAGTCTTTCTTTTTTTTTTTTTTTATGTATTATTATTTTTATTTTTTAGGGCGAGTAAATGATGACGGAATTTTCAATTTTGCCCGAACTAACCCTTTAAATCTTTATTAAATCAATACGAATTCAGTTGAAAAGCAGAGCTTTGACATAACACCATTAAGGAAAATGTTTGCTTTTACTTCTCCCAGGAATAGCACACAGTATTCATGTTGTCATTCACTAGTATTAAAATATGTCTATATGCCTTTTTATATGTATTTACTAATTGTAATTTTAAATGATCATTTATACGGAATTGGCTGCAGTGTTTTTAATCTTTTAATTCAAAAATATGCAAAATTCTTAGCAACATTGAAATATTTACAAAATAGATCTAAGTCATGAGATGACCGTTTTAGACACGAGGCGACAGTTTTAGACACAAGTAATGTTACATCGTCGTTATGACACTCAATCCTTCAATATCTGGATGTGGTTGCCAGGATACTCTCACCACAACAAGGATGATCACTAGACTAATTAATAAGGGCCAAGAATAGAAGGATGTTTTTTACGTGCACTTGTGCATGTGTGATAGAGGGAGAAAGTTTATAAATAAATAAATATATATATATATATACACATAACAAAAAAAAAATCAAAATAGCAAATAACCTGAAGCAGTGGTTTTACTAGTAATCTGTTGCGACTATATGTACTATAAACGAATAGAGTATTTATTATATAAGCATCATTACAGTTCTGAGAGGAGCTATGTTGCGTTACATACATTGGAAACTCTTAACCTATGCAACATTGCTCAATCTATTTCCAGGGTTCTGGTGGGATAACAGCTTTGGTAGACGGAATGAGCGATTGGCACTTGGATGCCAAATTGCAACACCCCCATCACTCTTAACAACATCTGGCCCTCAGATAGCGTTTTCCAGTGACCTGAATTCAAGCTTCCTGGAAGGAGAGGTCTAATGTTAACCACTTCAACTCTGCAGCATATTTTGAATTTTTTAGAGAATTAGGAATATATGACTTTAAAAGAGCGTCCTGCCCACATACATTGGAGTAAATGGATAAAAATGGTCTCATTTTACAGAAAACACTCTAAATTTTAACACAGTGGTGAAATATTGCATATATTTTATTGTATTTATTCACAATGTTTTGATAAATACATAAAAAATCTAATTTTTTAATACTTTTTTTTAAATACTTTTAAAAAGAAAATCTGTAACTTTGGACCTGTTTTGTCTATGTCTCTTCGGAAAGTTTCTTTCGATTCCACTAGGTGGCAGTAAACAGGGGCAAAAAGAATTTTTTTGATAACTCATTGTAATGAGAAGTTATTGAGATTTATCTGAAAGGAGTCACAAGTGTACTTTTACAGTATCCATTTTTGATTACTAAAAGAATTGGGCATACTTGACTTTAAAATGGTGTCCTACACGCATACATTGGCGTAAATGGATGAAAATGGTCTCATTTGATAAAAATCACTCTAAATTTTAACACGGTGGTAGAATATTGCATATATTTTATTGTATTTATTCACAATTTTATGATAAATAGGGACAAAAAGTCAGATTTAGATTTTTTAATTTAGATTTTTAAATTTAGTTTTTAGTTGAGAGTCTGTAATTTAGGATCTGTTTGGTTTATTTACCTTCAGAAAGTTTCTTTAGATTCCACTAGGTGGCTATAAACAGGGACAAAAAGAATTTTTTTGATAACTCATTGTACTGAAAAGTTATTGAGATTTATCTGAAAGGAGTCACTGGCGTCTCCAAATGTACATTTGAAGTATCCATTTTTTACCGCTAAAAGAATTGGGCGTACCTGACTTTAAAATGGTGTCCTACACGCATACATTGGAGTAAATGGATGAAAATGGTCTCATTTGATAAAAAACACTCTAAATTTTAACACAGTGGTAGAATATTGCATATATTGTATTGTATTTATTCATAATTTTATGATAAATAAGGACAAAAAGTCAGATTTTGATTGATTTTTAAATTTAGTTTTTAGTTGAGAGTCTGTAATTTAGGATCTGTTTGGTTTATTTACCTTCAGAAAGTTTCTTTAGATTCCACTAGGTGGCTATAAACAGGGACAAAAAGAATTTTTTTGATAACTCATTGTACTGAAAAGTTATTGAGATTTATCTGAAAGGAGTCACTGGCGTCTCCAAATGTACTTTTGAAGTCTCCATTTTTTACCGCTAAAAGAATTGGGCGTACCTGCCTTTAAAATGGTGTCCTACACGCATACATTGGAGTAAATGGATGAAAATGGTCTCATTTGATAAAAAACACTAAATTTTAACACAGTGGTAGAATATTGCATATATTGTATTGTATTTATTCATAATTTTATGATAAATAAGGACAAAAAGTCAGATTTTGATTGATTTTTAAATTTTGTTTTTAGTTTTGAATCTGTATTTTAGGATCTGTTTGGTTTATTTACCTTCAGAAAGTTTCTTTTGAATCCACTATGTGGCAGCGAATATATAAAAAAAGAATTATCTTTCTATCACCTTCTTATCAAAAGTTATTGAGCTTGAATTGAAGGGAGGCAAAGTCTCCACGTTTACTCCAAAAACTCAAATGATTGCACTCATTACAAAATCAGGCTTATCTGTAAAATACTATTTTTACCATGCTACACTTAACAAGAGAATAAACACTTTAATCACCTAACTTAACCCATGTCATGTAATATATTAGCAAAATGAGTGAGGTATGAGAAAGTAGCAGTTTTCGTATTTTATTATACACAAAGATAAATTATTATGCAATAATTATATAATGCTTATAATTTAGAGTGTCCATCAGTGTGCCATTTTCTGAAACAGTTTCTTGATGGCACCAAGCACAAGGCTACATTGCACTTCACACAGTACATGGGAGTCTTTACTTTGAGCCCTGAAAGTTTGCACAAAGCACAGGCTCTCCTCCCACTTGCGGCATCTGACCCAAAGTACTCTGGAAAACATTGCTCAACTGCTGTTGTGGCAGATGTAGATGGCTCTGGGGCACACGATGAGGAAACGGGCGCCTCTGGGGCACGCGATGAGGAAGCAGGCGCCTCTGGGGCACGCGATGAGGAAGCAGGCGCCTCTGGGGCACGCGATGAGGAAGCGGGCGCCTCTGGGGCACGCGATGAGGAAGCGGGCGCCTCTGGGGCATCTGGGGTGCTGGACTGTCCGGCCAGCTCAGACACAAGTCTCTCTCTAAATTCCTTCTGGGTGAGAGGACTTTTGTTCTGAGATTTGCAGAGGTGCTGGTGAAGAATGAAACCGTTTACCACCGCAATGTCAACAAAATGAAAAAAAAAAGTCTTGTACCATTTTGTGGTTTTGTGCAGGACATTGTAGTACCCAATGAGGGCATCTGACAGGTCCACACCTCCCATGTGTTTGTTGTAGTCTTTGACTGCCGCTGGAATCGGGACTCTGTGCCTTTCCCATACACCCTCGGGATTCTTGACACGCCTGAGGACTTCGTCACCTTCATATGCCTTGTGCATTGTGGAACACATTGTCACCTCTCGTGTGTCCATCCACTTCACAAACAGAAGCTTCCCATCTCGGAGCCATCGGAATGTTCCCCTTTGGGCTCGGCGGCTGATGTCATTTACCTTAGTCTTGGGGAAGCCACGCCGGTTGGTGCGTATGGTGCCACATGCTAGAGTCTTCTTTGAGAGCAAGTCCAAAAAAAGGCATGGGCTCGTGTAGAAATTGTCCATGAATAACTGGTAGCCTTTGCCGAGAAGTGACAAATCCAGGAGCTGCATGACAGAATCGTAACTGAGCCCTTTTCCAGTGGCCGAGGAAGACTTGCCTTCATAGACGAAGAAGTTCCACGTGTAACCACAGGCAGAATCAGCCAGCACGTAGAGTTTGTAGCCCCACTTGGTTGGTTTGGCTTTCATATACTGCTTGATGCTGATTCGCGCCCTTGAAGCCACCATCCTCTCGTCCACTGCTAGCTGTCTGTCTGGATGGAAATAGGTTTTGCATGCCAAGACGATGTCGTTGTACAGGGGCTTGATCTTGAAAAGTCTGTCGTAGGCTTCAGTCCCCTTTTTTCGGGAGTTTTCTCGATCATCCTCAGGATCACAAAGATGCAGGTTCCAAGAAATGGCCTGAAATCTGGACCTGGACATGACAGATTTTGGGAAGGGTAAGCTGTAAATTTCTTGACCAGACCAGTAATCAACGATGTTCTTTGCACCGAGGAGCCCCATGTAGATGACAAGTGCCATGTACGAATAAAGTTCATGTGCAACCAAAGGCAACCAAAGGAAACGTTTTCCAGCCTCCGACCTCTTTTGTGCAAAGCTGTTGGTGTTGTTCACAATGGTTTCCACCACAGAGCTTGAGAAGAAGAGCTGGAAGAGCTGCAACGGGGAATAGATCCTGTCCATTACAAGCTGCGCTCCTGGGTTTCTCTTTGGAAGGAAATTTGGTAGCGCTGGAACCTCATCCTCCAGACTGCAGTCATTCCACCTTTCTGTGCCACCATCCTCTGACATCACACTTGCTGACCTTTTCATCCCACGTACAGATGGAGCCCTCCCTCTGGTCTGCATGCTAGGAGTTCCACCTCTCCGTGGCTGCCTCACAGAATCACCAACAGATAGTGTGGGGGTCTTGGAGGTGTGGGGTGGGACAACCTCCTTGCTGCTAGTGCATGGCAGATCTGGCTGCCACTCATCACCACTGTCCAGACTGCAAAACAAAACAAATGTATAAATAAACAGTGTATTCAGAAATGCATGCTAGTATTACACACACAAAAATAATTCACATATGCACACAACGGATTCAAAATAATAATTCGCATATCCACATAGGATGCACAAATACATGTGCACAAAAATAAAAGGAGCACAACTCGTGCATGCACCACATCAAATATGAATATGACTGAAACATGTAAAATGCATTTCATGTATAGATAATATATTATATATACAGCTTTGGTGCATTTGCGTTTTGACACATATACACAATTTAATTGATGAACAAATATGTGCATGCATGTTCGTTTTAGTGGCTATGTGTGCTAAAATGTTACATGCAGATTTATTTTCCAGGCATTTATTCATCAATTGAACTGAAACCTGCATGCATCAATGAAACTGATGAGCAACACCTGGAAATATTGCATGCAATCATTGAAATTGATGAATAGCACGTGGAATAGTAAGCGCAAAACTACAATTTGCAACAAAGAAAAAACTTCTTAGCACGTGTGCACCAAACAGCTTAGCAAAGCCTCCCAAACATATTTGAACTATGGCATGAATATATCCATGGTTATGCTCGTTTATTATTGTATGCATATGTTTTTGGGTGCAAAATGAATATCAAATATACATGCACAAACATTTACGCGACAAAAACAAAAGAAAGAAAAAGAGCACATGCGTTAGCAAAACCACCCATGCAAACGCGTGCGTTTTGAATTAGAGCGCGCATGGTTTGCAACATTTCTCGATCTCTAATGCATGCATATTTTAAACAATTGTTGCATGCATTCGTTCATGAAATAAAAAAATATAACGTTTATAAGTTTGAATGTGTACTTACTCAAAGTCTGGATCCTCTCCTGCTTCATAAGCAGCCTGTCGGACAGAGTCGAAACTTGCATTACTACAAGTCTCAGTGTCGCTGTCTCGATCTAGCTCCGCCAAAACAGCCTCCACACCGACAAAAACTTTTCTTGAAGCCATTGTTCAAAGACAAAACACTCCAAAGCACGCAATAACTCGAAAAAACACTGTCCAAATCACCAAACTATCCCAAACTTTTCTCCTACTCATCTGCGTAGTTCGCTGGCGCCAGCTGAAATTTGAAGATGAAGCCCCGCCTCCTCGTCTTTAGAAGGCAAAATCTCAGCCTCTGAATGGCTTAGAAACATGATCGAGGTGTCTATTGGTAGCTGAGAAGCTCAGCTTTCCTGACGTACGACGCAATATTTGATGACGTCATCAAAAATCGCGGCTATCGAAGACAATCAAACCTAAGATTTATCATAGGATTTGCTCTTATCATGCACCGCATGTTTTGATCTGGACATCGGTGACATATTACAGTGTCATTTGGCCATGCATGCTCGTAGACATGTGAAAATGGTCTCATTTGGAAGAAAACAACCTGAAGAACGAGCTGATATAAATTTTGTGGCTAGTAGCTTCACATGGAGGAAGTGATTCGAACAGGAATATGACTCGTGTGTTTGCTTGTTCAAAAAACTCGATTCCGTTTTCGTGAATCTTTGGATGATAATGTTACTGTAATGTGTTGGATCGGTAAAATAAACTGCACAGTGATATTCTTGAGAGTGAGAGCTTTCATTTGATGTATGATTTGTCTATTTTTACGCTTTGGGCTTACGCTTAGCTTACGCTTTGGGGAAACTCCTTTCTCCAAAATTGCTGAAACCTGATTTAATCACGCCATTGCACTTGCAATAGGCAATGGTGTTCGAGCGCTTGTGCGGTGGGCGGGCCCAGCCGCCATATAGGTAGTGGCGAGCGCCAAATTGTCTCAGAATTTTTCTCCTTCACTTAATTTCACTTGAAGAAATGAGGACGATGTGAAAACTGAAAAGCGATATGGGCCTAAAGTGGGCAGTCCCATAGCAGCCGGTAAAGAAGTGGATGGACGGGTCTTATCTCAATGCAGGCCATCAGTTGGATGACCCGCAGAGACCAGCTCTCTTCCCTATGCTCCACGATTAGCTCATGCGGTCATGGTGCTCCCCTCATTCAGCTCAAGCCCATTCCCAAGGAACCCACCTTCTCTCTGTGGTGGAGGGGGCAGACAAACGTGGTTATGCCCAGTTGCCTCCTGTTGAAGAGGCCATCGTGGCTCACCCGTGTCCGTCCCACTGATGGAAGTCAACTTCGCTGCCTTCTAAGTCATGTAGGGCTACAGCCCACATTGCAGAGAAGGCATAAGTTTTGGCTGGACATCCAGCATCCGCCAATGGCGGTCCTCCAGGTGTTTCAGACTAGACTCCTAAAATCCCGGACGAGGAAGGCCGGGAGTCATCTAGCAAACTGCGTGCGCACGGCAGCGGATCTCATCCTGTGTGCAGCGAAACAGGTCACCCAAGGAGTCGGGCACAGCATGGCCAGCCTGGTAGTGCTGCAGCGGCATTTGTGGCTCACGCTCGCAGAAATGTGCGACTCAGACAAATTCAGGAGGATTCAATCGCCTCACACCCAAAGAAACTCCTTATTAGGGAGTTTTTACCTACTGAGCGACCATCTAAAGTGTTATGAGAAGCAACAATAGTGGACACATAAACCTTCAGCGTAGAGGGCGAGCTGCCAGCATCCAGCCGCTCCTGTAAGAAAGCCAGAATTACGGTCATCTTGTTGAAGGGGCTCTTGCCTCCGCTATCGTGTTTAGCAATCGTTGCGATTCAGCCAGCGGGCTCACTCCGCACTGACCCGCCATACAGTACATGCAGGTCCATGTATCGGCTACGGAGGAGTTATCGACAGTTCCACCAGCTCTGGAAACCACGATTGGTTGGGCGATTTCGGCACTAGCCTATCAGCAAGAGTGTACCTCTCCTCTGTGATGTTCTGCAGCACTAGCTGCATTATTTTAACCGGGGAAAAAGCATACTTTCACTTCTTGGGCCAGTGGCTTGACAGCTAAAAATATGTAAAAATCCTAAACTTGTGTTGGTCACAGCAGAGCTTATTTTCTGCAATAATTCAAAAGCCAGTGGAAAAATCCTATTGTGTTTTTGTTGAGGGAACCAGGGTGATGCTTCCAGAACTGGCCTACAAAAATATGTCATCACTGCGCTCTATAACGTTTATAGCCATCATCTGTACATACAATTTAGTTTACGATTTTAGAATTAGATTTTTATATTGATGAAAACTCATCTAAGATTTAAGAGTTCTTGTAAATTGTTCCTTTGTTCCTGGATAATATCTGTCCATTTATTTCTATTTCATATGCGTTTGTTGTTCTTTCCATGCTATTCTCTTGCACCTTGCATGCTTACCATTCCCTCCTGTAGGTCAGGGATTTTCACTGGGGCCTCGGGTGACAGCTGGGTCCTCTCTGTTTCCTGCCTATGAGGCCCTCTTCCTCCGTCCTACACCAGCACCCGAAACGTGACACCACTAAACCTGCATTAGTATAATCCATCATCATACAATATGGCAGCTGCCTTTTTCCCTATTTAATCAGCCTGATTAGTGGGCTGTATCCAAAATCAGTATTTCCCTATATTACTCCACAAATCTAATCCACTGAATGAGTGAATAAAAGTGAGTGAGCAAATTCAAACACTGTGTGCAGGGCTGCGTTTAACTCCATTTTAAGACATATGTCACAGGTCGGGGCGGGCCAACCGGGCTGCACCCACCCCTCAGGACCAGTACCACACTTGGGGAGTCGGACAGAGGCCAGGCAAGGAGGACAGACAACAAGACTTCAAAGGAATAATAATTTATGAAATATAAAATAGGATAAAAGATTTAAAGGTTGAGTCTTCTGCACAGGGTCGTTCCATCCGAGGACAATCCAGGTGCGCGTTTCAGATATGTACTCTTCTTCACGGTGACAGACGGAGAGCTTATGGCTGGAGGCCTCAGGCTGGAGAACTTCAGGCTGGCGAGCTTCACTGCAAAGCAGACAGGTGAGCATATGGGCACGTACTCTTCTTCACAGGCGACAGACAGAGGACTTACGGCTGGAGAGCTTCTCTGCAAAGCAGAGAGGTGACCATCCGGGCACGTAATCCTCTTCTTCACAGGTGACAGACAGGGGACTTACGGCTGGAGAGCTTCTCTGCAAAGCAGACAGGTGAGCATACGGGCACGCACTCTTCTTCACAGGCGACAGACAGAGGACTTACGGCTGGAGAGCTTCTCTGCAAAGCAGACAGGTGAGCATACGGGCACGTAATCCTCTTCTTCACAGGTGACAGACAGGGGACTTACGGCTGGAGAGCTTCTCTGCAAAGCAGACAGGTGAGCATACGGGCACGTACTCTTCTTCACAGGCGACAGACAGAGGACTTACGGCTGGAGAGCTTCTCTGCAAAGCAGACAAATCTGTCACAGGTCGGGGGGGCCAAGCCAGACTGCACCCACCCCTCAAACCCAGGACCACTCTGAGGAGCGTACCAGAGACCAGACAGACAAGTAGAATTAAAAATGAACAATCTTTATTGAATAATAAAAAGGAAATTAAAAGTCTTGACGTGAGTTTGTGTCTCTGTCCAGGAAGGGGGAAACCGCTTTGGACCCTGGGAAGCGAGGGATTCGTCTGCCGTTCCAGCAGCAGGTAAGTGTCGGGGTAAGTAGAACTTCTTAGCCACGATGCAGACGGACAGATACCCGGGCAGGGCAGGACCGGGACTGAGGACTAGGAGACTCTTCCACCGGACAGGTGAGTAGCAGGTACGTATACCTCTCAAGAAGGCGAGCAGGCGGAGGGGCCTCACTGGAAGACAGGTGGGTAGATAGGTCGGTATGTTCCTAGACCGTTGGTCGTTCCGAATATGCTCAGCACAGAAGAATCATCCAGTTGAACAGACAGAGCAAATTATACAGGTGCAGGCACACTCCGCTGCAGAATCGGGCTTACGGCTGGACTGTGTGGCTCCAAGCGGACAGCGCTGGGACAAGGGTGGATCCTTCCTTCAGACGGACAGCGCCCAAGAAGACAGCAGCCGACAATTCGTCTAGTTAAACGGACAGAGCAATTTATACAGGTGCAGGCACACTCTGCAGAATCGGGCTTACGGCTGGACTGTGTGGCTCCAAGCGGACAGCGCTGGGACAAAGGTGGATCCTTCCTTCAGACGGGCAGCGCCCAAGAAGACAGCAGCAGACGAATCATCTAGTTAAACGGACAGAGCAATTTATACAGGTGCAGGCACACTCCTCTGCAGAATGGAGAACCGGGCTTACGGCTGGACTGTGTGGCTCCAAGCGGACAGCGCTGGGACAAGGGTGGATCCTTCCTTCAGACGGGCAGCGCCCAAGAAGACAGCAGCAGACGAATCATCTAGTTAAACGGACGGAGCAATTTATACAGGTGCAGGCACACTCCTCTGCAGAATGGAGAATCGGGCTTACGGCTGGACTGTGTGGCCCCAAGCGGACAGCGCTGGGACAAGGGTGGGTCCTTCCTTCAGACGGGCAGCGCCCAAGAAAACAGCAGCCGACAATTCATCTAGTTAAACCGGCAGAGCAATTTATACAGGGCAAACACACTTCTCTTCGGTATCAAAAACGAGAACTTATAGCCCGAGCGGGACATGCACATCTGGCACTGAGGCTTTGTTCAGCAAACACTGGGCGAAATTATGCACTGGGGAATACTGGCAGTTAAATATACATATCCACCCACACACTGCAACCTCACGTCAAGTCCAATACTGTGTGACACTTCAATTCAGGCACTGCATATCCACTCTCACTCTCAGTGCAATAAGGCCAGCACTCACCCAATAGTCAATCCTTCCACTGTTATGTTGAATCAGCACTCAGACGATAAAGAGATGCAGATGACTTCTCACAGCATGGAGAACAGCGTCTTCAATACTCTCTCTCTCAGACGAAGATACCAGGATTTCAATGATGACTCAGTTCACACTCTTAAGTGGCAGTTACACTCGTGATCAATGCACTTCACAATTCCTTATTCAACTCAGAAGATGAAGATATCAGGATTTCAATGGTGACTCAGTTCACACTCCTATGTGACAGTTACACTCGTGATCAATACACTTCACAATTCTTTCAACTCAGTGCAGGACATGCATTCACACAGATTCGATGTTTTATTACTTAACTTCCTCTCAGGAATGATGGCGTTCTCCAGTCTTGACTGTATCTCCCCACTTCTCCAACTTTCCATCCAGTTCACGTTTCCAGCGTGTATCCACACAAATCACCGTTGCACCCTTCAGCCAGCCAAATCCTCACAGCCCTCTCCAAAGATCCCAGCGAATTCAGCCACAGCCAAAGGAACTAATTCTCCCGGGGGAGTACCACACCCAATTCCTTCTTCATTTTCCTTTTAAATGTTTCCTCCAGCCCCGAAGCCCTATCGCTGATCCTCAGTTCAATCGTCAGCACCTGTTACCACTTGCCTCATCAGCTGCCGCTGTCATGGCAACTGACAACAAGTGAACCAGCCCGGTGTGCCGGCGAAATCGTCCCGGGGGGAAACACACTCATAGCGGAAATTAGTTCCGCTAGACTTGTCACCTTGTGACACAGACAGGTGAGCATACGGGCACGTAATCCTCTTCTTCACAGGTGACAGACAGGGGACTTACGGCTGGAGAGCTTCTCTGCAAAGCAGACAGGTGAGCATACGGGCACGTA